TGTGTGTGTGTGTGTGTGTGTGTGTGTGTGTGTGTGGTGTGTGTGTGTGTGTGTGTGTGTGTGTGTGTTGGTGTGTGTGTGTGTGTGTGTGTGTGTGTGTGTGTGTGTGTGTGTGTGTGTGTGTGTGTGTGTTTACAGACGAGTTACATTAATCAGATGTCCAGGTTAATCTGGGGCTCAGTACTAACTGCTGGACCGCAGCCTCAGACCTGTTATGTCTACTGCATTGCTCTGCGGCCGCTCATGTGCCAGCTCCTTATGAGCTGCTGTCCAACACATGCCCAGTATCACTTGTGTTTATCACGACAACCACCTTTCTTCAGAAGAACATCACATCCAGCAACCAGTGGTGCTGCCTGAGGCTTTATCTCCTTTCTTTAAAACAATCACTATAGCTTGATGAGTCCCTTTGTTCCACCAAAATGATCACATACTGGCTATAGACTCCTTTCCTATGACCAGTACTCAAGTGTGACTTTATTTAGTTGTTTTCCTTTGAGTCAGATTTAAGGTCCTTTATTGCACCAGAAAGTGAGTACCGTCAGAGCCCTATCTGTACTTCTTTTTCATATATGTTACTTATTCAGTCTGTCGTTCAAGCTCTCCAACCAACATTCATAAAGATCATTTGATGAGTCTTCTTTAGTTTCTGATGATGTTCTGATCAGCAAGGCGAAGTTGTTACTGTTATCTGACTGCAATAAGGTTGTTTTTGAGGCGAGCATACATTTAAAACATTTGTTTAGATCCCTGTTGATTTCATGTATTCTTCAGTCACATCCAACGGCTGTCCCAGCCCTGTAGCATAGGAGCAGTCCAGCTGGTGTCATGTTTCCATCACTGCCCATAGAGCTGGAGCAGATAAATAGCGTGACTGCTGCACAGTCATTTGTCCCAGGAATGAATGCCGCTGGTAACCTTTCCCACTAAAGACAAAAGCCAGATGTTGGTGGGTTTTCTGACCAGTAGGAAATGGGCTTGAGTGTTCTTTAAAGAATAAAGAGCACAAGTGTTACATCATTCTAGTTATTTAATGTTTGATATTTACGCACTATATGGCAGGAGTTTGCCTGCTCACCTAAAGGGACAAAGGGAGAGTGTTGAAACGAAGAGACAGCTGAGGACGAGGATGCGCTGCAGCCTTCTCTCACTCACTGAACATTGGGGGCTTTGGACCCATCAGCCATGTCTGCTTGTGCCCCTCCTGTAAGCACTTCATCCAACAAGTTTTGGTTTACTTGTTTTATTGAACATGTCTTAACAACATCGAGAGCAGAACATCACACGTCTTTATTTCCCTAAAAAAAAGACGTGACCCCTAAGACCCTAACTAATTCCTCTGAGGGGAATCCTGCCTCATAACATGAGATGTTAGCTCTTTGCTTTTTGGGACCAGACTGAGGCATAAGCAGGGCTTTAAAAGAAGAAAAACAACATCCAACTCCATTTGAAAAACAAAACTGTTTTATTTATTTTTATTTTAAGTGACTAAAATAAGTGAAATATCCCCAAATGTTGTATTTTCCTCCCTAGAACAAACATACCAGGCTCAATGTCGAGAATTAAAACAAGACATTAACTTAAAGGGGACCTATTATGCAAAATGCACTTTTATGTCTTTTATACATAAATGTGTCCCCGGTGCGTCGGGGAACTCACAAAGTGTCAGAAAACAAAACCCTCTCTCTTTTCCTCTGTACCCACATCTCTAAAAAAGAAAAAAGGGGGATCCTAACAAGCAGATCCAGAATTTTCGCTCCTATAACGTCATTGGCGACATCCTGCCGACGTGACACGTCCCAACCTATCGTCTCTGGCACACGTGACACGTCCCAACCTATATTCTCCAGCACACGTGACACGTCCCAACCTATCGTCTCCGGCACACGTGACACGTCCCAACCTATATTCTCCAGCACACGTGACACGTCCCAACCTATATTCTCCAGCACACATGACACGTCCCAACCTATATTCTCCGGCACACGTGACACGTCCCAACCTATCGTCTCCGGCACACGTGACACGTCCCAACCTATATTCTCCAGCACATGTGATACGTCCCAACCTATATTCTCCAGCACACATGACATGTCCCAACCTATATTCTCCGGCACACGTGACACGTCCCAACCTATATTCTCCAGCACACGTGACACGTCCCAACCTATATTCTCCAGCACACGTGACACGTCCCAACCTATATTCTCCAGCACACGTGACACGTCCCAACCTATATTCTCCAGCACATGTGATACGTCCCAACCTATATTCTCCAGCACACATGACATGTCCCAACCTATATTCTCCGGCACACGTGACACGTCCCAACCTATATTCTCCAGCACACGTGACACGTCCCAACCTATATTCTCCGGCACACGTGACACGTCCCAACCTATCGTCTCCGGCACACGTGACACGTCCCAACCTATATTCTCCAGCACATGTGATACGTCCCAACCTATATTCTCCAGCACACATGACATGTCCCAACCTATATTCTCCGGCACACGTGACACGTCCCAACCTATATTCTCCAGCACACGTGACACGTCCCAACCTATATTCTCCAGCACACGTGACACGTCCCAACCTATCGTCACAGTGCAGCTGTGTGTCTGTGTATTCAGCAGGATGTCTGCTGGAGGCTTAGAGTAAAGTTGTTATATATATAATACATATAATGGCACTGTTCTCACGGTAAACACTTAAGAAAGAACATGTCAAGCTATGTGATGTATCAGAAACAATGCACGGCGTGTTTTGGGAGTAATATGCTGTGTTTACATTAGCAAGCGTGCTAACACTCAGAGCTAGCCATGGAGCTAACGCTGTAGGCTACTGGAGAGAATATGTTTAACGTAATGTCCTTGTGGTAAACCCTGCGAGACCCTGAGAAACCCTGAGAGAAAGGTTTGAGCTCCATACTGTTTCAGAAATAAAGCTTGGTTAGTGGTTAGGAGCATAACATGGCATTTAATCACCGCAGCGTTTAGCTGAGCTTCTCCCGTTAGCAAGGGAAAGCTGCGTGACTCTACTAAGGAGCGTGGCTAGCAGAATCAGCCGGTTTGCAACAGGGCTTCAAAAGAGGGGTATGAGCAGTATGAGGCAGGCATGGCTACAATGGGTGATCTGTTTGGTATTTTAAGCAAAAAACTTCAGACATGTTTTGTATAGGTATGGCCCTACAATATATGTTTCCAATATAGCATGATAGGTCCACTTTAAGTGTCTCACCTCAGACTGTTTCGTCCTCATGCACCTTCACATTGTTTGTGATTTATTGATTATTAGCTTTGGTTCAAGGTTTTATTATTTTGATATCCCATTAAATGATCCCTGCCCCACAAAGGCTCTGTCTGACCTGTACCTGATGAAGCTGCCGTTAAGGATTATTGCAATCTATTTATTCTTTTAAAATTCCTATTTCATGCAACCAACATTGCAAATGCTGTATTTGCTCAGGACTTCCTATTAGAGTGGGAGAACCTTTAAAGAAACTGACTCTTAGGAATCATATTGGACATGTATCAGTCCAACCTGATCCCAGATCAGCGGCAGGCCACATTCCTGCTTTAGCCTGTCTTTGCACTGCAAGGCTATTCTCTGTAACCATGGCGTCCAACCCATCTGCTCTCAGCGGCTGTCAGCAAGGGGGCGGGGGTTTGTGTGTGTGTGTGTGTGTGTGTGTGTGTGTGTGTGTGTGTGTGTGTGTGTGTGTGTGTGTGTGTGTGTGTGTGTGTGTGTGTGTGTGTGTGTGTGTGTGTGTGTGTGTGTGTGTGTGTGTGTGTGTGTGTGTGTGTGTGTGTGTGTGTGTGTGTGTGTGTGTGTGTGTGTGTGTGTGTGTGTGTGGTGTGTGTGTGTGTGTGTGTGTGTGTGTGTGTGTGTGTGTGGTGTGTGTGTGTGTGTGTGTGTGTGTGTGTGTGTGTGTGTGTGTGTGGTGTGTGTGTGTGTGTGTGTGTGTTTGTGTGTATATGCGCTCCCACTTAATTGAGTTTGATCATGTGCGGTATGTAGCCTGGAGGTAGATGGGGATTAGGGAAGATTTCCAGCAGCTCTCTCACTTTGCTGTCTTAACAGTATGAGAGCACCTTCATGATTAGTACAGTAGCTTCATGAAGAAGGTCCTCAGTCTCTCTTTGATCCCCTCGCACACGTACGGTCTCCCATACATCCAACGTCTTTATTAAATCACTTTCGTTTTTTCTTGTTTCGAAGGTCTCATTTCCAGCCTTTATAAACCCGCAACACATACAGTGTCATTTCTAGTACTTGGTTCAGGACACTTTGTGCCACAGGACCACTTCCTCAGGTCTTTAAATATGCCCTCACATGTGTTCCACGTTACAGCTCTAATATATTACTGTCCGACCAACTTTTCACAATTTGGAGTGATCAGCAGAAAGTGTGTTTTTGGCAAACAGAAGGCTAATAATTGAGAGAGCGCCTGTGTGGAACATCCAGGCCAAGACAGGCCTGGAGGCGTTTAAGGGAAAAAACAAGAGACCAATTGTAAGAACAGGTTTTAGGACATTTTAAAAGTACTAAATGGATTGATAATCAATACCCTGAATTGAATGTCGCAAATTGATTGATATAGCAAATATGAGCAACATTTGAGATGAACAGGTCTGAGGTCTCTGCAGAAAGAGGCCTCTTCATGTGATACTGCTGTTGTTCGAGGAGAGAAAGGAGACACTGTAAACAAATCAGTGGTGTGGTTTCAGCTCGCTGCTGAATAAAACATACACAAGACGTCTCCCTCCTGCTGCCTGTTACACCTCCACTTTCACAAAATGAGAGTTGGGGCTTAAGAACTCTTTGGATTATCCAGCGCCTGGCTAGTGCTTAAGCCCCAACCGCCCCCATGATCTCAATTAAAAACGTGTGCCTCCAGCGAGGTTTTTGCACCCACTTTTTTCACGATGTGGAGGAATTAGTGTTAAGAAGTGGTTCTAAATGTCTCCTTTCCTTTTTTCTGTTGTGTGTCTCTGCAGATGATCCAGCTGACCAACGTACTTGCCTTATCTGTGGAGACCGTGCCACAGGCCTGCACTATGGCATCATCTCCTGTGAGGGCTGCAAGGGCTTCTTCAAGAGGAGCATCTGCAACAAGCGTGTGTACCGCTGCAGCCGCGACAAGAACTGCGAGATGTCACGCAAGCAGCGCAACCGCTGCCAGTACTGCCGCCTGCTCAAGTGTCTGCAGATGGGGATGAACCGCAAAGGTAACGGGTGGACACGTCACATATTTTAACCCTATGGTGGCTCCACCTATTAAAAATGAAGATGATTATGAGAATTTCCTATTTTATATTTTCACATTTTTGGTTACATGTTGTTTATGGATGACAATAATGTGAAAACGCCAGCAATTATACATGTCTACATATCATGAACATGAACCTTTCCTTCTTCTAAATGATTAAATGAAAGGGTGGTAATGGTTTGATAGATTCTATTTGAATGTTTTAAAACATTTGCTTGGTTGTATTTATTAAACGCTTGAGTCTCTGTCAATGTTCCAAAATGTAATTGTGAGTAAAACAGGGGTCATGTGCTGCAACCTGTCATGTTCAGGAACAGACCTGACCAAGTCCTCTTCTGGGGTAATTCCTGCTACAATTGACAACCAATTGATATTTTACATTTTTGAAAACTATAACTTTGTGATTAGCTTTTTGATAATCTACATCAATCTTTTCAGTAACTCTAAATACACTAAATTAACAATATGTGTAGTTAAGAAAACTTCAAACATAACTTGTGCATGCAGGGCAATAAGAGAGGAAGTCCCCGAATGACTCTCAGGACAGAGACGGGTTCATCTCAGGTACCACGCTGCCCCCTTGTGGATGCTGGTTGTAAATAACCCTTCAGTGCTGCTTCAGCCTGATGGCCTAATTTCAACCATTTATTCTTCAAATACTGTGATGAAAGCAGGCATGTCCTGACACTTGAAATACATTTAACTCCTTGCTTCTAATAAACCAATCCCATGTCAAGAAAAAAACCTCTCTACCTGCCGAACAAAAACAAAAAGTTAAGTTGGAACAAAAGTGAAAAAGGACCAAAACAAAATATGAAGCAAAGCCCTGTGGGATCAGTTTCAGCCACTAGGTAGAGCTCTGACACTAACCCTGATCCGTGGTGTGTTCATGGACCACGTGTAGATTGAGATTTCTGCTCTTTGTTTTTGTCATGCAGCAATCAGAGAGGATGGCATGCCAGGAGGGAGGAACAAAAGCATCGGGCCTGTTCAGGTACATCATCACTGAATACCAGAAATGTTGTTTTTGTGACATTCACTGACCTTCCGCCGGCTAAGAGTCAGTCTATACATGTTATTGTGGCTCAGTCCCAGAGTTGGCTCACTCACCATGAATGCATTGAAAAACGCCCGCTTCCATTAAATGACTGCTTTATCTCCGAGTCCTAATGGAAGCAGGACCTCTGTCATTTATATGGAATGAATTGCCGTTTCACTGTGTGCTGAATGATAGCAATGGAAGTGTCTCGACCCCAGCTGCAGATACAAGACACCACATTTTCTGGCATGCTAATGCCTTTCAAAATGCCTTTGTCTATTTTCTCCCTTCATGGACCGGCAAGGATCATATTATTTTAGTTGTGTGTTTATCAATCAGATACACACACACAATTTGCTTTCTTTCTTTCCTTTCTTTTTTCCTTTTCTACCTTCCTGTTTCACTGTGTCCTTGCTTCTCAACATTTGAGTGAAAAGCAGTCAATGCTGATCAATTCAACTAGGACACGGCTTTCCTTTGCTTGAGGATGTGCTGTAAGCTCCATGAGCTCACATCTCTTTGTGTGTGTTTGTGTTTCAGATCACAGAGGAGGAGATAGAGCGGATCATGTCGGGGCAGGAGTTCAAGGAGGACGTCCCGGAGCACACCTGGGGCAACAACGGAGACAGTGACCACAGCTCGCCCAGCAACGGAGCGTCGGAGGGCAACCAGCCGTCCCCCGCCTCCACCCTGTCCTCCAAGTGAGTCGCTCATATCGTCCTCTCAGCGCCGAGCGCCAGCACTCACCCCATTATTGAGATAATGAGCCGGCCCTGACAGTCTAACACCTCTTTCCCATCGCAGCCAGACTTTAGTTAAAGTAAGTAATCAGCTGAAGAATGCCTGAATGTGCAGCTCCTCGACGCACAGATGATAGCAAACACAAAGAACTTTCTGCTATCTGCTTTTCTTGCTATGGTACGAGTGCATTGTCTATCTGCAATCATCAAGGACAGATATTGTCTAGCTACTTGCATGACTGTATTTATTTTAGTCTCCTTTAGTATAAACACAAGGTTTATCACCGTAGCCACACAGCCTGAGAGCTATTCAGAAGAATTCTTGAATTATCAAATTAAATCTGAGCAGAAATAAACAACAATTACAGAATGCATGTGCTTGGTATGCAGGTACAACGTGAAATGCAATGTTTTGTCTTCAAGTGTTGAAGGGAGTGGAGCTCCACCAAAGTGTTAAAGTTTAGGAAGTTTAAAGAGTCAGTCTGTATGTCCGGTACGTAGTGTCGGCGATATCTCAACAAGACCATTAGATAAATGAAGTAGAAGTTAAAAATAAAAACCAACTGCCGGTAAATGCATCTGATATCCCAACACTAATGCTTGAAATGTACGGAGATGTAAAAGGTCTCTTAACGTGAATTAGCACAAAAGGGTGATTAAACATATCGATCTCAGGGAAGGATGGTAAAGGCTATTTCACAAAATGTACGATTATTCCTTTCAAGTGTGTCTGACCTCTGACCTTTGTGTGCATCCAGCCGCTCTGTGGAGATGAACGGCTACACGGCGGCCCTCAGAGACCAGTACATCAACAACTCCATGTCCACACACTACCAGCTTCTGCCCCACCTGTTCAGCTACGCCGCGCAGTCGGGCCTGCTGGCCCCCCAGCCCCGCAGCCTCTACCCCCAGTCCCACCCCCTGGTGCTGCAGCTGGTGGCCGCTGAAGACCTGGCCCCCCTGGCAACCCCCATGCTCATAGAAGACGGGTGAGTCAACGCAGACGCAACAAATCATGCTCTCGCCCCCTCACTACAATGCAACACAGATCAGGGAATCCAGAACGTGTTGTTAGTGTGGTGACTTACAATATGACCTGCATCATGTTAGAGCAGGGTTCTCCAAACTATGGCCCGTCGTCCATTTTGAAATGGCCTTCAGCAAATAGTCTAATGGAATATGGCCCACACCTGAAGCTTGGGCCACTAGGATCTATTTTCCACAACAAACCAGTATTTTGAATTGTCTTGCTGAGTTCTTACCTGCCCTCTGGTGTCTGACAGGTACAAAGTGACCCAGGTGGAGCTGTTCGCTCTGCTGTGCCGCCTGGCAGACGAGCTGCTCTTCCGCCAGATCTCCTGGATCAAGAAGCTGCCGTTCTTCTGCGAGCTCTCCATAGAGGACTACACCTGCCTGCTGAGCTCCACCTGGCAGGAGCTCATCCTGCTCTCCTGCCTCACCATCTACAGCGCACAGATCTTTGGAGACCTGGCCGACGTCACCGCCAAGTACACGCCGTCTGACGACGAGCTGCAGGGGTGAGTGGCAGGAAGCTGTGGATAGATGTTCTATAAACTCAGGTCTCATAACTCTGCCACAAAGGAGACAGCCCAGTTATCATGGTTTGAATGAGTGTGATAACCAACACAGTATAATAGTGGACAAAGTTACTGTTTACCCTAAAAGCCATTTTTAAAAGTAACATTTAAATCTCAAATTCCAAGGTGGTGTCTTTTAAATGTCTTGTCAGTCTATAACACCAAGGTATTCATTTTTAAATGATACAAGCAGAAAACCTTCATAGGCTCAAAACATTTTCTTTGCTACTTTTGCATGAAAAATAACTTATTTTGATAGAATTTTCAATTATGCCAACTTTAAATCCATCATGCAGTAACATATTGATAAGTAACTGAATCAATGTCCCTAATTCATAGGTGTTGGTAATATCTCCGTAAAGGGATTCAGGTCTCCTGCCTGTGGTGGCTAGTGCACCATAACACAACAGAGTATTACTTGCTATGTTTAGCCTCTGGGAGCCAATATTTCACTCGTAAGAAAGGTGGATGAAAGATAATAATAAAAAGCAGTCCTGTGAAAGGCGAGTTTCCCCTCTTTATGAGTATCTCCAGGCGTTTGATGTCTCCCTTATCACGGCAGGGAAAGTATTGTAGTTGGCTGAGGGCCAGTGGAGTGGTCTGTGAACGGGGGGGGCCTCCTCAGGACAGGGCTGTGGCTAGCACCGTCTAACATGTGAAATACATGCATGTCCCACGCCGGGCAGAAAAGGATGAGTGGGGGTTTGCATCTGTGTAAATCACACCAGAATGATCTGACCTCATGACACACACTCTGCTAATATACGGTGCTTCTCTGCGGCTGCAGTCGACTCGCCTGTAGTTTAGGAGGGAATATCTGATTTACAGAGACACGTTTGTGAGAGGCAGAGAGACAGGGCATTGGGCTTTGATGAGTGGAATTACACTTTGTGAACCTTTTCTAACTCCTTTAAACAGCTGTGGGATTAGCAAGATGTTTGTTAAGCACTTTCAGAAGATCTGACGTATTCCCTCCCTTATTCTTTCCGTGTTCATTGGAGCATAGCAGTTTAAGATAATGGGGCTTGAGGGATTTAAAAAGTTTTGGCAGTGGATTTAAATGTGAATGATATGGTTATTCTATGTATCCTACTAAAACCCAGTCTATCTTCCTCATCCAGAGGGACAAACCCTAAGCATCTTGATATCAATGTTCCTCACCGCTACGTATTCCCAGCATAATGAGCCGGTCTGTGTGTGACTCCTCAGATTCAGCGAGGACGGGATGGAGGTGATGGAGAGGTTGATTTATCTCTTCCGCAAGTTCCACCAGCTGAAGATCAGTAATGAGGAGTATGCCTGCATGAAAGCCATCAACTTCCTCAACCAAGGTAACAATCTGATTTGACAGAGCTCAAGCTTGTATTAACCCTAACAGTACTCTTAACATAAAGCTTTAACTATGTAGCACTTTTCATACAGCAGGCAGTTCAAAGTGCTTTAACAACATAGCACAGATTACACATTAAAAGAGAGAAGAAGAAACCCCCCTCAGATCAGACAGACCTTTCTGGAAACATGGACACATCATATCACATTTGAACAGTTTGGGAGACAAGGGGGTAAAAGGTATGATAATACAATTCAATAAATAATGACCCCTCAGAAAAATGAAGGAAGGCATAAGACAAAATGAAAAGATACAGTAAAATATAAAAACCTGTAAAATAATAATAAAACGTTGTAATAGTTATAACAAAGGTTAAAGAGGAAATGTAGCTAATAAAAGTTTTAAATAAATAAAAGAGGTAGAAACCTCTAAATAAATCAAAGCTGACCTCACATTTTTATCCGCAGATATCCGAGGACTGTCCAACACCTCGCAGCTGGAGCAGCTCAACAAGCGCTACTGGTACGTGTGTCAGGACTACACGGAGTACAAGTACCCGCACCAGCCCAAACGCTTCCCCGAGATTATGATGTGTCTCCCGGAGATCCGCTGCATCGCAGGTGAGGCTCCTGAGAGCTGGATAGATCTTCAGTGCTTCTATAGTCCTTAACTCTAATATGGTGGACTGGAAGACCTGAAAGCGCCACGTAGAGGCCAAATAGTTACATTTAAAGGATTTATGTTCATTTAAAAGCAATACATTTTTGTTATGGTGTTTTGCTTAAGAGTTGACATGAGCGTTTACTAAATTGCATAATTTGAATGATCTGGTACATCTGAATATCACCTGGCCAATCCCAGCACATCATTAGGTGCAGGCCAGCCCGTTATCTAGCGTGTCCTGGATGAGTAGTGGGAGATGACCTGAGAGAATCAGAATGACCTTCTGCACCAGATACACATCTCATACTTTTGTATGTATTATTATGGTCTTATTAATGTATTGTATGAAGTGACTATCAGAGCGTTCATGCACAATAATCAATAACTAATCTTTTGTGATTGTTCTGTGTTGTTCTTGCATCTGTTGAAAATGTTTATGAACATAACGGAACATTCCAAATGTATATTTTTTAGGGCCGGGACTTTAACGCGTTAATTAAGATTAATTAATTACACAAAAATTAACGCGTTAAAAAAATTAACGCATTTTAATCGCACTTATTTTTGCACCGCGGAACGTTTCTCACTGGATGAGTTTCAGGCGTACCGATTATACTGGAGCACCAACTAACGTTCATGACTTCAGACAACAACAAACCACAGTGAACAACAGTGGGAAATGTTGTTTTAAAAAACGGACGGTTGGAAGCGTCGATAAGAGCACGGTTGTGTGCAAATTATTCAAAAAGGAATTCGCATATCACCGCAGCACATCAAGCCTCAAGTATCACCTCAATGCAAAACATATAGCAGCTAGCGTGGACGTTAGCCTCTTTTATCGCGTTCACACCAAAAAGAGCCGGTACTAAAATTAGTTCATGAGAACCTTTTTACCCCCACGAAAGTCCCTGCTAGAGAGCAGAGAGCTGCTAGAGAGCAGGGACTTTCGTGCGGCTCTCTTGTGAGAAAAGAGCTATATTTCTGATTGGCTGGGCGGATTGCAAACCACGCCCCGTAAAACTCCCAAAAAGTTTTGTGAAGCCGCCATTTTATTATCCTCGCATTAGCATTATTAGCATTAGCATTAGCCCAGCGCAGAAACGCAGAGAGACTAATTTATGGCAACACAAAATAAAACATGGGAGCGGTGGAGATGAGGAGGTGTCGGCGTTCTGGCGATTTACTCGGAAGGCTGCTGGGACTCCCAGCAGCTTCTACTGAAGCCAGTCCCCAACTCCGGGGACTTCCGGCCGGGGACTCCGGGTGGCAGTATACGGCGTGAAGTGGTTTGCGGCCTGCCAGTAAACCCAAAGCAGAAGAAGAACAAGTGACGTCAGCGGCTTCATTTGCCTACGGAGCGTCCACACAGCAGCGTGCGTTGACGCTTGGAGGTGGGCGTATCTGAAGCTTGGGGATTTTTTGCGAGCAACGCGACCAACAACCAATCACATGAATCTCCCGCCCCCGACATACAAAGCAATAGCAATGTTAAAACGAAGTAAACTGGATATAAAATCCCCAAACAGGCGAAACCCTACCAGTTTCACCCACTGTCTCTGCCACCTCCCTCCATGCCTCGCTCCTCCGGTTTGTATCCCGGTAGATGAACAGAGACTGATCATACAGCACCGGGTGATTCACTACCGCTATAATGAATTTTCCCTCCATTTTTTTTAATATGAGGAAATGACCTGCGTAGTCTCTCCCAGCATACACGCGGTTTGATTGGCTAGCGCTTGTACTGGCAGATTTGCATAAATGGGATTTCATTGGCTGACTCCTCCGTCGAGGCGTCAAAAGTTGAACATTGCTCAACTTTTGACGCCAGCTACGCCAGCAACGCTCCACGTCGCTTCCCCCGATGCAGTTCGGCTAAAAGTGACGTCACCCCATTCAAAGTGAATGGGCAGAAGCGTTGGAAGCTTCAACGCACGCCGCTGTGTGGACGGGCCGTCATCCTCCCTCAGGGATTTATTCCAGTGTGAACGCGATCTGTATTTAGTTCATGCGAACTAAAGAGTTCACATGAACTAAATTCACATGAACCTTTGTGGGAAAAGTACTGCAGTGTGAATGCGCCTAATGGTATACTAAAATCCATGTGAAAAAAATTGCTTCTCACTGTTCTTAGGTCAAATATTTATATGCGATTAAAAATGCGATTAATTTCGATTAATTAATTACAAAGCCTCTAATTAATTAGATTAATTTTTTTAATCGAGTCCCGGCCCTAATATTTTTGTATAGATGTTGCAATTGTACAAAACTCTGGCAATACATTGTCATTATGGTCATGCTTATAAAGCTAATTACATTGAGAACCCTGGGCCAGTATAAGCTCCAAACCGTTTTGTTTTTAAAAAGAGAAAACCGAAAAAACATTGAAATGAAAAGCAGGATGAAAAAAGCTACCAGGCTGTAACTCTGTGTTATGGAACTGTCAGCTGTGATGACCAAAGGAATGATCCTGCTCACCCATCACTGCCAAAGGAGTCACAATGTGATTCCTTTATTTGTCCCACAATGAGGAAGTGTGCTCCAGCAGCAGAAGTATAGTGCAGATACAGTGAAGATAATACACTTACATATTACAAAGTCAATAAATGGCTAAACTAGCACATGTTATTTGCCGATTGTAAATAAATTGAGTGAAAATAAATACAGCTTGAATTGCGCAAGGGTATATTGCACAGTGACCCCCCCACCACACGGTTTGGAGCTTATACTGGCATAGGGGTCTCCCACGTCCTCACTTCAAACCTCATCCATTCTGTGTCCCTGCATCTGAGGGAGTGTTAGCTAACAGGCTGAACATGCGTTGGCTTTGGGACCTATTCAAACGTACCTGCTCATTCAAACGATGCACTAAATGTTGATATCTTTAAATTGGTGAAAACAGTATGCCGTCTCTGCTCTGTGGTCCGTGAGGCTGGCCCTCTGTGGTCCGTGAGGCTGACCCTCTGTGGTCCGTGAGGCTGGCCCTCTGTGGTCCGTGAGGCTGACCCACTGTGGTCCGTGAGGCTGACCCTCTGTGGTCCGTGAGGCTGACCCTCTGTGGTCCGTGAGGCTGACCCTCTGTTGTTTGCAGGGAAGCTGGTGAACGTCCCCCTGGAGCAGCTCCCCCTCCTGTTCAAAGCAGTCTTGCACTCCTGCAAATCCAGCCTGAGCAGCTAGAGGAGCGCCCCCCCACCCTGCGGGACCGCCTCCTCCGGAAACTAGACACCCCCCCCTGACCCTCCGAGGCGAGGGACTGGTCTCCCCTCTTGTGAATGTGACAAGCAGCTAGTTTGTTTTTTGTAACTTTTTTCTTTCTATATTTATTACTCGACAGAGCTGAATGTATGCTGATTTACACTGTGCACATGCTTCTGTACAAAACAAATGCTCGTAGATGCATTGGTCTTTGGAGTTTACAAGTGTGTATCCAGTTTGCTCAATGTGTCAGTGTTGCTATTGTTAGAGCTAGACTTTAAAAGAGTTTATTTTATTCAGACGGGGGCGGATAGACATATGTGACGAGTGTTTGAGAATACCTCAGGGAAATGTTGTTCAGGTACCTTTTCTTTCTGTTAGATGAAGAGTTCCCTGGTCAAAAACCAATTCCCCCAATCAGATACTGAGTGTCCACGGGAGCTGCATAATCAAAGATTGAACCAGTGTTTAGCTTCACTGAAAAGGCAAAAGTTGAGCTTCTATCTGCATGGACTCAGTCATCCTGCTCCATGGGAGGCGGTCGTGTCAGTTTAACATTCCATGGGTTAAGGTGACAGTTGGATCTGCGGGTTCTTTATTGAAAAAAGGAGCATACGGGTATTTTTTACAATCATAGACTGGGGATGTAAGGCTTTATTGTGGGGAAGGGGATTGTAGTTAGGTTTGCTGTTTTTAGTTGTATTGTTTTCCCTTTTTGACCAAAGTGTTATGCAATGCTTTTTTCCCCACTGATGGGTTGGGGGCTAATAGCTCCACAAAAAAGATTTCTTATCAATGAAGGATCAGGATAAGAAATGAATCAATCTGTGTCAGAGGGGAGACCCCCTGCTGGGCAGACGAGCGTGTTGCCGGATTTCATTCTAAATGCTGCTAAACATGCACAAATTCTTGTGCACACATATATGCATAGAGCAGATGTGATGAGATTGTATTTCCCTCCGATTCTTTCAGACGGCTTGTTTTCCGTCTGCTCCCTTCAGTGCCAGGACCTTGATGCATTGTAGCCTCGACAAACTATTTAGGGTTCTCTGTTGGGTTAAAGGGGAAGTTTGTGAAATCTTGGATTTGACTAATTATTCAGAACAAAGCAAAGGTCAGAGAGCCAATGCTTGGTGTTTTGAACAGGTAGAGATCTTCATGGGTCAAATAAGTCAACCTGACCTACTAGAACCAAAATGGAAGTGACAACAAACACTTGGCGTAGAATGCTAGCTTCTGTTAGCTCATCCAGCTTCAAACCCAGATTAAAAACCACTGGTCCGTTCAAAAGTCTCATTGGGCAGTTTTAGAGGAACTTGGACTGTTTTCGGGTCTTGTCAGGTCCAATCAAACTTTTGCACAGACCCAAGACCAGAATCAGTTAAAGTTGGACCGGATCCAGATCCAAGAAGCCCTAGAACGTGTGGAGCTGAGCTTCAGGTCCGATTGTTTATTGGCTAAGGTTGGCCAAAAGACCAATAACCTTAATGAACTGTCTAATAAAAGTTTGCAGATGATCAGTTTAAAGGATGCATCTTCTGGCAGTGTCTCACTGGGGTCGAGGTTCAGAGTTGAAGTGACTTTCCTCTGGCTTCCATACCCTCTGTGACAGATATGCACATTGTTTAAGCCATATAGGAAATGGTCTTTTATTTTTGAAGTATGAGATGATAATTTCAAGCCGCCTGAGGCGTCTCCTTGACTCCTCGGGTTCTTTGTCATTTCATGATGTACGAACAATTTGAAATGCATCTTTGCATCTCTCTTTTTTTGCACATGACGGTGGGGTTCGGAGACCTTGACCTTTGACCCTGGCCCATGCCCGCCATGCCATGTTCCTCTCTCAGGTCCCTGCAGACCTGAATCTAAACAGGGTAAAGTTAGTGTTATGTATTGCATTCGGGAGTTCCTCAGTGACCATGCTGGTGTACTTCTAGTAGATGTAGATGTAGGTTCCAGGACATTGTAGGTCCTAAGTAGAAAAGTGTTCCCCCCCCCCTTCATTCAGTGGATGCAGTTTGAAGATTAGACCTGCAGGGGGAGTTTTCCTCTGGGTGTGGGTGATGGACGGAGAGGTGCCTCCTGCAGCCCCTTCTCATCTTTTGATTTTTATACAGTGTCATGTTCCTTTTTAGTTATGATGTTAATGTTTTGGATTTTTGTAGTTTTTCACATATTCATTGTCTTTTGTGTGGACAGGGCAGTGAAGACAGCCCTTGTCATTTTCTAAATTTTGAATGAATGCTTAACTTTTTTTGGACATGATTTCTAGTAACTGATTCCTTTGTCCACCGTATTTTATGAAATGGTGATATACAGGCCATGTGAGCCATGTCTCACATGGACTTGACATCTTATGTATTTTGAATCATTTTACAATGCAAAAGTGATGCTTTGGAGCCATCTGTGGTTCCAAACCTGAATTAAATTACACTAATGTTCTACCACCTGGATTCTAAGAGCAGCTAAGACGGGTGTGGACAATATTTCTCTCACTATTTAGTCAAATGTGCATCATGCATCACACAGGCTTCTGAGGTTTAAGGGTCATTTCACCTAAATGACACAACGCATTCAATATGTTTTCACCTTCAGGTTTAGTTTGACCTGCCATCTTCTCTACAAATGGATGGTGTATGGAATTGAGCTTGTTTTGGGCTGGAAGCAGAAACTGGCAGACCAACACCTCCAAATCTAACCGCCAGGTTAAACTGCCGGTAAGTGAGAAAGTATTTGAGTGTCCATGTCTTTTGTTGAATTGAACCTAAAAACCACATAATCTCAGGGATATCTTCTTTATGTAAAAGAAAGTCTGTGCGATGCGATGTATCTTCAAAACAGAACCAGCTCCCCCAGACATCCTCCTCCACTGTTGGGAATACGGCTTCAGTTTAGTTTCAAAAGTTGAAATAAATATCAGGTGTTGGTGTCAGACTGTGAGAGCTGCCACTGTGGCTTCACGCTGTAGCAGGGTGGTCACTTCATCTCAAAGTAACTGTAGGAATGCTGACCATCAGAGTGCTGAGATCTGACAGTGGAAGAGGATATGGAGGGGGGTCTTTCTTTAATGTACAGCTGTGACTTCCTACCTGTCATATTTTGAAACACGTGCTGAAGAAGTCTTCTTTTTTATTTTCTGTATTGTTTTTTGCAGTCGAGGGATATGTCCTTTGCAATTTATCTACTGAAACTACCTCTTTATTTGTCATCATGTTACTTACTTTCAAATAGATGCATTTGTTGTCTTATTTATTGGTTTCATTGCACCAATGTTCTATTATTGCTGTCTCTTTTGTCCACACAGTGACCTCTCAGATGAATGAAACGCTCGGATACCTGTTTTCTTAATGTTTATTTTTTGTAATGTGTAAACATGTTGCCTCATAATCCTCTCTACCTCAGATTGGCCTGCTGTCAGCAGCTTTATCTCCTCTGACCTCTGGCTGTCTCTCATCCTCTACCTCTCCTCTCTTTTTTCATTCATTTCATGTCAAATTAGCGTCATCTTTATTTCACTTTAGCCCTGTTAATCGTAAGTCCAATACCAATGATGAAAGAATGACTGTCAGTGTTCTGATGAAGCATGGCATAATGCATTCTTGTTGCAGCAACCAGTGCTTTATTTTGTGTTGACTTTTTCCGAAAACGCCTTGGTACCCTGTGAATGGCTGTTATTCCTCTGTGCTCCATGATTGTTCATTGGTAAGAAAAACATGGAGTGCTAGCTGTTTCATATCAGACTCGGTCAATGCAGCTAGTGCGGGATCATCCACCGTGTTTACGCGCCTCGCTCGCTGCGGCACGGGACTACAGATAACCGTCTTATCTCTGGGGTTGGACATGGATGGCTTTTGAACAAATGCTGCCAGCCTAAATGACTGATGTGTGACGTCATGACTCCCAACTATTGTAATAATCTTCCCAACATTCTGGGTCAGATTTGCATTTTTGCAAAGATAAGATGCAGGTTGTAAAGGAGCACGTTAAAGGCATACTTCAACCCTAAAATGACAGTCTCTGTCAATGACCCGCCCCCTGTTACCTTGCATTGATGAAGAAAGTCTCTCACATGCCTCCACTGTGAAGGAAAAAGCCAGTCTTGATGAATGAAAGTAAATAGGGTAAGAGCTGAATTCAACAACAGCCTAACAAACAAGTACATTATTTTAATCAATTTATTTGGCTGCTGAGGTCAGGGAGGACCCATCATCCAGCTGTCCTATAACAGGCCAGTTCGGCAAAGCCACATGTCCAGCCCCCCCACGTCAGAACTGTCAGAAACCTGAGAAGAGGAGCTCTGCAGCACTCGGTTACAGAAAGAGCTTGTCATTGTTGAATGTTTCGATACGAAGTCATGACATTCATAATGTTCAGCAACAAGCATTTAGTTGCTGCATACTATCACAGCTCTTACTATGACCATGCGCTCCAAAGCTCCTCTGTTCAGACCCTGCTGTCAGGTCTGAGCCCCCTGCCCCGCTGGAGTCCAGCGGGGCAGCAGCACACGAGGAGAGAGGGTGGGAGAAGTCAAGAACAATCGTGACATATCTCAGGGAAGAAAGAGATTCACACACCGTCATCACCTGTGAACAGACAATTGAAATGCTTTTCTCTTCAGAAATCTCTTGTCTGCTATTGTTACTTTAACTACCTGTTAAGAATGTGATCCATTACGTATTAAAAGCATGTTTAGAATGTGTTAGAACTTGAAACCAAATAAATGTGGACGTTATGCAAATGTACTTGGACTGGCCTCCATTTTTCTGTCCATCTTTGACTTTGATACGCAGAGAGCAGCAGGTGATGACCTGTGCGAAGCATGTTTATCGGTTCCTTACAGGCAGTGCTTAAGAGCTTCACGTTGTGCCGTCCGGAGAGTGTCCCTGACCCGCTGCTCAGCAAACACAATGAGTTATTCATGGGAAGATAATCTCATTCAAATAGACACAAAGTGTGTTTCCACCTGTGAGGCAGTGATCTGTTTTAAACATGCCAAATGAACTCCTGTACTAGCAACAACAACAAGCTGCAGTTCAATAAGACACATACTTTTGCCCAAAACGACTTACAATTAAAACCATAAAGATTCAAACTTCTAACAATAAGGATGTGCAGATATATTCACATGTATATCAAATATTTTGCTGATTTTATTCATTAATTGTAGCATTCCCTGATATAAAAATACTTTCCATTCAACCATCCAATCTTTGACTGTATCTGCATTTCTTTTGCACAAATGCTGCCAGCCTAAATGACTGATATGTAACGTCATGACACCCAACTATTGTAATCATCTTCCCAACATTCTGGGTCATATTTTATCTTTTGCAACTTTGAATTTCATTGTGTGTGTTGTAAAATAAATATTCAAATGCAAAGTCCATACAGAATACCATATTGACCAACATGAAACAGTTGACTGGTCAATTTGTCCACAGATAACTTGTGCTGCTTTTTTAATACTTACATTTTTATTTAAGCTGGCAATAGTTAATATTTTTGCATAGTCAAGTCCCATCAAAATACCCAAATGAACTATAAATGTATCCATGTCCTCAGTGTGTGTTCGAAGCCCTACAGCTCCATAACTGAACCAAAAACCATTACATTCACATGGGTGAGAATGAGTTGCATTAGGTGTTCCTACACATCCTTTAGTGCAGCGTTTCTCAAAGTGTGGGGCGTCTCACAGAGATGTGATAGGTGGGTCGCAAAATACAAAATATATATATATTATTTTTTTTTAAAAAGCGACCATGAAATGAAAGCGACCCTCTACCACACAAAACAACACCTGTAAATAACCCAATTTGTGTTCTTTGAAATTGAAAAGGATATTGCATTGTGTTTGTTACTTTCGTTGCAGTTGTATGTCTTAAGTGTAATTTGGCATGCTTTTAGTTTGAAGGCGAGTTTACGCTGTTGACAGTTGTTGTTATGGAAACAAGAAACGTTTCACAGCGGGCGGAACTTGTCATAAAGTCCGCGATAATAAAGCCCACCCATTTAGAGGGAAGATATGATTGGTCAATTGTACTGTCATTTCACATTACTCTCTCGTTGAGTTACTATAGCTGGCCCTCTGTGAATTCATAGCTGGACGTCCAATCAGCTCCTGTCTTCACCTCGCAGAGCAACCTGATCTCACCAGAATGCGTGACCCCACCACGACCCCTTAACACCGCATTGCTGCACCTTTCACACCAGAGCTTTTCCCTTTCTAGCTCCGAGCGGGAGCTTTTCTGGGTCAGCTCCGGTTTCCCTTTTCTGCTCCCGCTCTGTTCACACCGCCCAGAGCTGCCGCTGCTGCGTCATGACGTCACTGTTTACGTGCATGCTTCATAAAATCCAAACTGCGCGGAAATCCCTCACATCGACAACAACAACAATGGCCGATTGTATTGAAGCGCTGTTCGCTTTGGTTATCCTCGTACGAAACGAAATGGAAGGCATCGGACGACTTTACAAGGGACTACTTTACAAGGGACGACTTTACAAGGGACGACTTTACTTGGAACTTTACAAACATCACATGCGAAATGCAAGACTTCTTTGTGGTCTTCAGCACATGCCCGGCGCCGTGGGAGGGACATTCTTGCCCTCCCACAATAAACACGATTTTTATTATTTATAAAAATGTAAAAATATATATATTTTTTTTATTATAAATAAACTGTGAACTTTTATGCTACGATGTATGTGATGTCAGATAGAAACTAAAACAAAAAAATCGCAGGCTACGTCAAATAAATTCATGTGTCTGTTGTGATTTGTGATTTGTCCACATTTAAAGACCAATCACAGCGTCACACTCTGCCGCCAATTCTGAATTTGTTTATTGTTGATTGTGCATTCTGTAGACTCCCATTTCTGTTTGAATTACAAAATGGACATCAGAAATTGGCTCAAAAGGTCTAAGGATTTATTCAAACGAAATAGCGATGAAAGAACTGCAGCCGATGCAGCTGCTGGCGACCCTGCACCTGCCGGTGCAGCAGCACGCCTTAATGTCACAAGCTTGACCTCGGCAAACCCCGGGGCTGAGTTAGCGAGCCCAAGCCCTGACTCATCAAGGCGGCCGCCACCAACGCTGTCCTCCGAGGCACAGCTCCTTGTGCCCCACCGTCACCACCTGCGTTGCCACACCCTGTACCACACCCGCCAGCATCCTCCTCCTCCTGCTCCGTGCCGGTGCCTCCACTACAGACGCTACCTTGCAGCACATCAACAGCTACTATTGGGCCAGCAACCGCTCAAAGACCAACAGCCCCAGATGATCTTGGGGTTAATAAACCCAACCAGGTGAAACTGGATCGTTATCCAGGGAGATTGTTTTCAGGAAAGAAGCGCACTTTTGCCGCTGCATGGTACACAACAGACCATGGCTTGAATATTCGTTAAAAGCAGACGCAGCCTTTTGTTTCCCCTGTAGACAGTTTAAAGTCAATACGTCTTCATCTGATGCAGCTTTTACTGTCAAAGGTTTTTGCGACTGGAAACACGCATTACAGACTGATAAAGGACTGCTAAGACATGCCGCATCAAAAGAACACATTTCATGTGAGAGTTTGTGGAGAGAGAGAGACAGATACGCGAGGAAACAAATAAGGATATGAGTACTTTGGTGCAGATCAGCTGGCACGGAACCGTTATTACGTGTCAGCCAACTCCCTCTCAGAGGTGACCACGATTCACTCCACAGCATGTCCGAGTCAGGCAGTGGGCTCTTCCTATTGCTGTTTGAGTATACGCTGCAGTACAAAATAATGGACAGCATTCCCCACACAGCAACATACACCTCTCACGACATGCACAATGCCATAATAGAGCTAACAGCAGTTCATCGTCTCCGTCTATTTCTCTCCGAGTGCAGCGATGAGGAAGCTGCCATCCTTAACCAGTGTGCCTTGCTCGTGATTTACCAGTGTTTGTGCTGCCACGCACACAATGTTTCAAAGTGGTTTCTATGTTGCCCTTTATTTGTGTATGTATTTGCGATAAGTGTGCGTCTTTGCGCAATGCTGTTGGCCTTGCTGTTTGATATATTGTGCCGCAGGCCCGCAGCACGTGACGGTGTTGTGTGCCCTCCCATGAAAATCATATGCCCTCCCTTTAGATTTGTTCTGGCGCCGGGTCTGCTTCAGCATCTACTTCAACCCGCCTCGACGTAAGAGAGACGTAAGCGACGCCGCCTCTTAGCTCCGAAGCTCTTGCCTCTAGACCAGGGGTGGGCAATTATTTGTACAAGGGGCCACTTCAGAAACTCGAGCTGTGTTGGGGGGCCGAATCAAAATAAGTTGAACTTAATTCTGCTCAATATACATTTTCTTCCATTATAGAATGCAGTATATTACATATTTTTATGAGCTGTTACTGGTAATGAAAATAATAAGAATGTTACCTTACAATAAATATATGAAATTGTGGAGTGAGCCAAATAGGAAAATACTCCTATAGAGGTAATAAACAGTAAAAACAATAATTGAATCAGTATTTAATTACATTTGACACGTTAATCTTCACAAACCAATACTGAAAAGGTGTTTTACAGTATGTTAAAGATAAGAAATTAATCAGCTTTATACAAAAATAAATGAGTGCTTTTGATTTTTGTTTTTCAGTTAATTTGACTTGTTCAGTGAGAAAAATCCAGTCGGTCTTGGGCTTGAACAAGTGCACGGAAATCTGGTTCAATGTCTGAGGTGGATATGCGAAGGACAGCTGAGAGGTGATCATCAGTGATAGAGGATCTGTATCTTTTGGATTTGTTGAACTTCATCACTGAGAATGTCTGTTCACATCTGTAGGTACACTGAACAAAAATATAAACGCAACACTTTTGTTTTTGCTCCCATTTTTCATGAGATGAACTCAAAGATCTAAAACATTTTCTATATACACAAAATAATCATTTCTCTCAAATATTGTTCACAAATCTGAAAAAATCTGTGATAGTGAGCACTTCTCCTTTGCCGAGACAATCCATCCCACCTCACAGGTGTGGCATATCAAGATGCTGATTAGACAGCATGATTATTGCACAGGTGTGCCTTAGGCTGGCCACAATAAAAGGCCACTCTGAAACGTGCAGTTTTGCTTTATTGGGGGGTCTGGGGGGGTCCGAAAACCAGTCAGTATCTGGTGTGAGGGGTAAGGGTTAGGGGTAGGGTTAGGGTTAGGATAATGCTGTGAATCGAGTGGCCTGTGTTCGTCGTCCATTACATACGCCTGCCCATACCATAACCCCACCACCACCATGGGCCGCAGTATTTTTTTCTTTTTTTTTACCCAAAAAATATATTGTATATTATCGGGGCTATTAATACTGGTATCGGGTTTATCAGGATGACGTCATAATTCCTATTATCGGACCGATAATTATTGGACCGATAATTATCGGACCGATAATTATCGTGCATCCCTAGTAATAAGGCTGAGATGAGAACCCTCCATCGTATTTAGTCCTTAGCAATATGCTGCGCCTCTCCCCATGTAGGGATGGGTACCGAGCCCCGGTATTAAACGGGCCGGAATTATTGAAGACAGTGGTAACGTTAAGCTCCGACGTTATCGGACTTTTTATCGGTACTGGAGACATTTAAAAAATATATGTCATATGTATTATTGCTACATAAACATTATATCGCAGTTTTAGTTTCGCCAACTCCGTTTCTAATATGCAATAAGACTACTACATGCGTCTATGATGTATTTTCGAGCTTTCCAATCCAGACGAGAT